GGAGACTGTAATCACTGCAATGAAATGATGGTGTAAAGCCGATGTTCTCCCATGGAAACTAGCACTCAGTTCACAATGAAAAAAAAGAAAGACAACTGAGTGCCCACTCTAAGCTGTTGCTATTGTTAAGTGCCTTCCAGACAGTTCCAACTCAAAGTGACACTGCATAGGGTTTCTAAGGAGCGGCTGGTAGGCTTGAACTGCCACTCTTGTGGTTAGCAGTCCAGTGCTTATCGTACAGTGCCGCGCCAGGACCAGGACACTCTGAGTAGTGAGAAGACATTTTAAGAGGGAAAGTAAGCCCCACTCACCATGCATGTGCTCATTTCTCTTCCTGCTTCAGGTGATACAGGAAGTCCTCAGAATAATAGTCAGCAGAGTCCTGGGAATGCAGAGCTAGGGAAAGAGAAGGAAACCGTAAAAAGGTGGCCAAGGATGTCACTCACTGTCAAGGACACTACTGTAAATCACACAAGAGGCCCCTTCATGGGGTGGCTGCAGTTACACAGGCTTGATATGCAAAGCATGCCCTGCCCAGCAGGTGCCTTTACCCACACCCCTCTGAACGGCTAGCCAGAGTCCCCCCACCACTGCGGCCACGTGACTCTCACTGTACTAACTGTGATCCTGGTACGAAGACATTTCAGACAACATAAGACCCCAAATCACAGTCCACTCTAGGGGTAAATATACCAAGGAGCTTCAAAAAGTCTGTGGGAAAATTCCATTATCTTTTCACCGTTCAATTCCATGTTTCCACAAACTTTTTAAAATCCCCTCAATAAAACAAACAAAAAACCCAAACCCATGCTGCAGGGTCCAGTCCATCGCAGAGCAACGCGATGGGACAGAGGCGCACTGCATGGTGGGTCTCCAGGACCGCAGCCTGGACAGAAGCAGACTGCCACAGCTTTCTCCCATGGAACAGCTGCTGGGTTTGAACCACCAACCTTTTAGTTAAAACCTTTCAATTAGCTGCCAAGCACTTAACCACTGCAACACGACTGACCCACGTTTGTAAGCGAATCTGTTTTAAATCACTGAAACATTACTAATAATTATTCCTCAAAGCATATGCTGTGCTGAAAAAGCTGGTGGCTTGTTTCCCACTGAAAATGAGGTAAGGATTCATTTCATCTGTGCTGTTTGTTTCTACTTTGCTTTGCTTTGCTTTCTAAACCTATTGTAGGAGTATTGATTTGGGGTTGCAGATGGCTGATAGAGGCACTTACAAAACAAAGGAAAAGAGAAGCGAGCACAATTGTGTATCATGAGCGCAAAAAGAGAAACAAAAACTTTCAAACCAAAATCACTGTATAAATGAAAATTTCAAGGTATTTGAAGAACCCAGAACTAAAATTAACCACACCAACCACTTGACATGAACTTTCTTCTGATGAAACTATTTTTGTTATTCTCATTTTTTCTCCAGATAAAACTACATTTTTTCTTTTTTACGATACCCTGAAAAGCGATGATGAAAAACCAAACCAGACCATAAAACCACAAGCTGTTCTCAGACAAGAAAGCAAAAAGCAAACAGGAACAGGTAGCTATAAAAAGAGCTGGTTAGAAATATTAGAAAGAAAAAAAATTTTTTTTTTATAGAACATCAATAAATGAGATAAACTAAGAAAATGTGACACAGACGAAGAGCAAATCAGTGGATTAGAAACCAGTGCTAAGAAACTAATCTAAAGCAAAGAATATATTAAAGAAAACGTTAAGAAGCCTGAATGAGACACTGAGAAGACCCAAAATTTGTATCTAATAGGAATGCGAGAAAAGATATGTAGGACATGGCAGAGAGGTCTTAAGAATAAATTGCTAAGAACTTCCCATAACTGAAAAAAATACATGATTTATCGACAGAGGGGTCCATTACACTCGTACTTTCTACATTTATTTATATCTACAAATGTGGTGCTTTAGGATCAGCACTGGACTGCCAACCACAGGTCAGCAATTCAATCCCACCAGCTGGATCTCGGAAACCCTACACAGGGTCACTATGGGTCAGAACCCACTTGACAGCACTTAACAACAACAAATGCTCATTTTTTTAAAAAAACTATGTGGCGCTGTCTTGGGTCGGGTCCTCGCTTCCAAGACGACAAAGAAACGGAGAAATAAGGATTGTGCCAAAAAGGGCCGCGGCCATGTGCAGCCTATTGGCTGCACAAACGAACTGCGCCCTCTGTGTGTCCAAAGACAAGGCCATTAAGAAGTTTGTAATTCAAAACATAGTAGAGGCCGCAGGGTCAGGGATATTTCTGAAGCAAGCGTCTTCAATGCATACGTGCTTCCCAAGCTGTATGTGAAACTACATTATTGTGTGAGCTACGCCGTTTGCAGCAAAGGCGGTCAGGAACCGCTCTCCTTAAGCTCGAAAGGACCGAACACCCCCACCCCGATTTAGCACTGCAGGTGCTGACCCAGGACCACCACCAAAGGCCATGTAAAGAATTGAGCCCTTAATGGCTGAAGTAAAACAAACCTGCAAGAAAATAAAATAAAAATTACACTTCTTTGGAGCAAAAAAACCACACAACTATGTAGAATATCACACCAATTCTGCGACACAACCATATAAATATGTACATGGTGGTGGCTGTGTGCCACCAAGTCAGTTTTAACTCAGAGCGACCCTGTGGAGGGTTTCTGAGGCTGTAAATCTTTATGAGAGCACAAAGCTTCATCTTTCACCTGAGGAGCCTCTGCTAGATTCCAGCTACTGACCTGTCAGTTTAGCAGCCAAGCTTGTAATCCACTATGCTACCAAGACTCCTTTGAAATATGTACATAAATAAATAATGAGAAATACATTAAAATGTTAGCAGCTTTATTAACAACTTTTTAACTTGAAAAATTCATTCCTGGATTTTCTGAATTATTCAAAACAGCTATTCAGCAGAAATATACGGAGTGACATTTGTCATTTCAAATTTTCCAACAGTAACTTTGTAAAAAAGTAAAAAAAATTTAAAAAGTCAAGTTAGTTTGCATAATATATTTTCTTTGTATGTTGTTGGTGTTAAGTACTTTTGAGTCAGTTACAACTCACAGTGACCCTGCGTAGCGTTTCCGAGGAGTGACTGGGGAGTCTGAACCGAACACAGTGCAATTATCAGTCCAATGATTACCCTACTGCGCCACATCAAGACTCCTTAACTCAGCTAATTCAAGTTTCAAAGAAAAAAAAGGGAAGTTAGTTTTGGTAATATCTTTAACCCAATTTATCCAAAATATTATTATTTCAACATGTAATACATAGAGAAAAAAAAAAGATTAGTAAGATAGTTTACATCTTTTGGTAAAGTCTGTAAATTCCAGTGTGTATTTCCACGCATCTTAATTTGCACTACTCACTGATCACATGTTCATTTCAAGGTCCACGTGGTTTGCAGCTACTGGATTGGAGAGCACACCTCTACAATGAGCACTATTTCTAGTCACACGTGACATATACACGCCCGAGTCAACCAAACTCATGACATGGTGTGCACTTGGACTCATAGCGACCCTAAAGGACAGAGTGCACCTATTATATGAGGTTTCCAAAGCTACCATCTTTCAGGAAGCAGCTGAGCAGCCGGTGGGTTGGGAAAGCTGAGTTTTCACTTAGCAGCCATGTGATTTAACACCTGGGCCCTCTCTCGTCCTGTTACTTTTCAGTTGACTCAAAATGAAATCAGATAAAACATAGAATATGTTTTAGAAGGAAAATATTTGAAGTCCCAAACCTTATAGCTTTCAAAGTCTTCCAATCTACCTTACCCAGGCTCACTCCCCTTCAGACTTCACTATCTCCTGTACACTGAGAGACCACTGGAAGGCACTTAACCACAATCAACAGAGGGAGAGTATATATAGCACAGGGAAGCAGATCAAACGCTCTGGGAAAGGGCTGCTTAGCTTCTATTCCAACACCACCTCTTAACACTTAAATGACTTAGGAAAAGTAACATAAACTCCCTTCCCATCCCCACTCCTCCATTCTTAAAACAGGGATAATAACATCTAACTTGGAGTCCAATTGTGGTGCTGTAGGATAAGCACTGGACTGCTAACCACAGGCTCAGTGGTTCAAATTCACCAGCGGCTCCTCTGAAACCCTATACAGGGTTGCTGTGAGTCGGAACCAACAACAACTTCATCAGTACCATTACCCCTTAGAAGAATGCCTTGAAGTCAAACTTCTTAAATGTAAACAGTACTCATTTCTAAGTACGCTTCCAATCCAGTCTTATTCTTTATTAAATATTTGAAGGTTTTCCTAGCAGAATTTACTAAAGTGAAGGAAGCTCTAATAACTGAAAACAGTGTGCTCTCAGCAGGATGTACCTAGGGCTGTGTATGAGAAGCTAAGTTTCCTCCTTTCTCAATTCAGGGATGCTGAAAGGAAAAGAGGGGAGATAGCACGATTGTGTTTCGATCCCGGATAAAACTCTGCGGACAGCTCCACTCCTTCGGGGCGACTCCATCCTTCCTAATAGGAAATCCTTAAAAGTCCTGAAGGGCTCTGACTCCTGAGGGATCGGAGAGCCAAAGCACTGCTCCCGGGCTCCGACTTTACCTAGGCCTTTAGAGGTGCTTCCGGTGAAAAGGGCGCTGGTGGGGGAATAACTGTATAAAATAGTAAAAATCCACACGCTAGGATGTGCCGCCCCCTGTTCTAAGATGGTTTTACACGTATTCTCGTTTACTTTCCAATCACATCCCTGCACGGATATTACAGATGAGGACACTAGAGCGCACAGATGAACAAATGACTCGCCGTGTAGCATACCCACCCAAGCAGCAGAGCTGCCAGGCTAAGCGGGGGAGGAGAGTTGAGGAAATGCAAACTTCCGTCCTCCGCCTCTCAGCCTCCGCCGGTGTCCGCGGCTTCTCTGTCCTACCATTGACGACTAAGACGCGCGTCTAGTTCCACTCACAGCCAGAAATGACTTCGAGAGGTGGTGAAAACGCCAAGGTAACTCACCTCCCCGACCGAAAAGATGTTGACGGCCTGGCTTTCCCGGGACGGAAGTGTTGGATACGTGGAGTACGTGAACTACACTTCCCAGAAGTCCATAAGGGAGCAACGCAAGCCCCGCCTTTATTTCCCGAACAGAGTTCTGCAGTACAATTCCATGCATCATTTGGAGACCGTAGAGCCACATTTTTTTTTTTTTCACTTCTTAGAACAAATGCATTAAATAAAAATTAAATTAATTAAATATCTGGGAAGTGTGGTCTGAGGTTCGGTGTGGTAGGGGCAGTTCCGGTTCTGGACAGCAGTGGTAGGGAATTCTGGGAAGTGGTCCCGGGATTCCCTGTAGTCAAAAAAAAAAAAAAAATTAAACGAATCCACTGCCATCCACTGGATTCTGAGTCATTGTGATCATACAAAACAGAGTAGAAATTCTTTTAGCTTCTGAGGTATATTGTTATCATTATTATTGTTATGTGTAGTGGAGTGGGTTCTGACCCATAGTGACCCTGTACAGGGTTTCCTGTAAATCTTTACGGGAGCAGAAAGCCTCATCTTTCTCCCGCAGAACAACTGGTAGTTTCGAACCGCTGACCCTGAGGTTAGCAGCCCAATTCGTAACCACTGAGTCTTGGTGTGGCGCTGTGGGTTAATGCACTGGGCAGCAAAGTTGTTTGAATGTCAAGGTCTGTGGTTCAAGCTCACCAGTCACTCCTTGGAAAGCCTATACAGGGTCGCTATGGGTCGGAATCCACCGGACGGCATTCAACAACAAGAAGCTACCAGAGCTCTTTCTCTGAGGTATAGTCTCATCTTTTTCCAGCTGGTATGGCACCATAGAATAAACACTGGACCTCAAGGTCGATTTTCCAAAGGTCAATGGTTCAAACCCTCCTTGGAAACCCTTTGTTGTCAGGCTGAGAACCACAAGGTCAGCAGTTCAAAACTACCAGCTGTTCCGCGGGAGAAAGATGAGGCATTGTGCTCCCGTAAAGATTTACAGCCTCGGAAACCCTGTACAGGGTCGCTATGAGTCGGAACCAACTCCACACGGCCCTTAACAAGGGGTGAGCAGCCCACTGCCTAATGCACAGCGCCACCAGGGCTCCTTCCCCATAGTCGGAAGGAGACATTTTTGCTTCAGACACGCAAGGCCTACCTTCCCCCTCAAAGAAAGGATTGGTCTTTGATGCCCAGGGACCCACTGAGCCTTCATGGCATAAGCAGGAGTAGTCTGTTTTGTTTTGTTTTGTTTTGTTTTGTTTTTAATGTTTTATTGTGAATTCTGTGATAGTTTACATGGGAGAACATTAGCTTTACATTCATTCTATCGTATATGGTTTCATTGCCAGGGTTACAATCCCCTCCATGCATCATCAACCAACCAAAGGGTATATATACCCTGCAAGCCTGTCCCTACCCCCTTTGTCAGCACACAGCCCCTCTCCCTCGCTAGGTCTAGAGTCCCCAGCCACTACATCTCTCCACGTCATAGTCTCTGCCTCCATCTCTGACGTCACTGCTTCTCTGGGTAGGGTCCTGCTCTCCACTCTCCATTGATGGTCCCAGGGACCTCTGATCCTAGACTGCAAAGTCAATCACTCCCCTCCTTGCTACAAAACATCTACCTTTACATCTCCAACCCTCACAGTCAGTCCTGATAACAAGTATTCACTATTGAATCACAAGAGACCTAGCCTCATCTCTTTTCATTAGCCCTGCCCAGACAGATTGAATACTACTCAGTGGAGATTCTACCTTCCTCCACACCCTCTGGATCTAAGTTCCCTCTTGAAAGTTTGTAAGCCAGTCACTTCTTGCCTTTGTAGCCCCCCCCTCCCCCATTTTGGGCAGCCAATGTCCAAGTTGCCCATCCATATCTATTCTGTGTATGGAGGGGGTGGGAATGATCCTCTCTGTAAAGATTTGTTCCCTCTTTTGAGCTACTGCATCCATAGGTGTAGGTCAAGTTCATCAAATTCTATCAGATGACTCTTTTCTTCCTCTTCTTTCTTCTTCTAGTTGAGCTCTGATCATCCAGTCATTGAAGCCAGGTCAAGTGGGTATTATCTGCAAGTGTGGGTGTTCTTGTGCAGGAGTGGTATTCTTTTATTGTGCATCAAAATATATATACATTTTAAAAAGTGCAGAAACAGCCTACAGAATGGGAAAACATTTTTGGTAACCATAAGGGTTTTAATATAAGAGTTTCATATCCGGAGTATATAAAGAAGTCTTAAAAAGTCAGCAACAGCAAAACCCAACTTGTTTCAATAATTTAAATTGCTAGAGTAGACATTGTACCTAAAAAACACAAATGGCCAGTATACACATGGAAAGATGCCCAGTTGTCTTTGTTGTTATTGTTGTTATGTGCCGTCGAGTCGGTTCTGACTCATAGTGACCCTGTACAGGGTTTCCGAGGCTGTAAATCTTTACGGGAGAAGAACGCCTCATCTTTCTCCCACGGAGTGGCTGGTAGTTTCAAACTGCTGGCCTTAAGGTTCACAGCCCGATTTGTAACCACTTTGCTACCAGAGCAGTTGCCTTTAATCATTAGGAAATGCAAATGAAAACTCACTGCAATACCACATTCACACCCAACATTGTTAAGTGCCTTTGAGTCCTTTGGACTCATAGATACCCCAGTATAGGAACATCTGGTGAGTTTGAACCACTGACCTTAGCACTCCAGAACTTATCCTATGACACTATACCAGGACTCTGAGAATTACCATATGATTCATTGATTCCATTCCTAGGTATATACTTAAAAACCTGTATGTGACACAAACAGACACATATAGACTAATGCTTATCGCAGCATTATATACGTTAGCCAAGAGGTAGAAATATTCATTCAAATATTCATCAACAGATTGCTGTAGAACAGGGCTGAGGAACCTTTTTTCTGCTAAAATTTATAATATCATTCATGAGGCATACAAAATTATCAATGTAAACATGGGCCTGAGAATTACAAATTTTAAATTGGTCAAAAATTTCATTAACTGACGCCTAATAGGATGGCTAGAGTCCTGGTGTGGCGCTGTGGGTTAATGCACTAGACTGCAAAGCCGTTTGTACTGCAAGGTTGGCGGTTCAAGTTCACCAGCTGCTCCTTGGAAACTCTATACAGAGTCACCATGGGTCAGAATTGACTCAACAGCACTTAACAACAACAATATGATGGCTGGAATCCTGGTGTCATGTCGTGTGCTAATGCGCTAGACAGCAAGGTTGGTTTGAACCACGAGGGTTGCTATGGATTGGAACGTATTCGACAGCACATAACAACAACAATATGATGAGTGCGCCTCGGAAACCCTATATGACTTGAAGGCAATTAACAACAACAACATGATGACTGAAATTGTCGTTGCCTTGACAGGGCCTGACCAAATGATAAGGCACGTGGGTCAAAAGTCACCCACTCCTCCTGGAGAGCATGAAATCTGAAGGTTTTTTTGCCTACAAATAACTCCAGCCAGGCGGATCTGTGTTTCCCGTTTCCATTCCTCCTCCTTCTGGATTTCATCATTAGGTAAATGCTGACCTTTCGATCTGAAATGGTTGGTTGTTCCAGGGTGTGCCTTCTCACTAGTGTTATTGTGCCCCTTATGTTGTTGTTAACTGCAGTTGAGTCAGTTCCTACTTATAGTGACCCTGTGTAGGGCTTCTGAGAGGTGACTGGTGTGTTTGAACCACCGACCTTGAAGTTCCAACCTACCTTGAGGTCCAGTGCTTATCCTACAAAACCATACCAGGGCTCTCCGTCCCTCAGATAGACCTATCTATTGATTGGCTGAAAATGGAACCATAGGGATGAGTTCAGTTCCAGACCTGAAGGGTGACTCTGGGGTTCACCAGGATTTTTTTTTATGATTCTGAGTTTTGTTCCATATTCCTCCCCTCTCCCCCCACCCAGCCTCACTCTATCCAGGACTTTCTAATGTGATCCCTTTCAGAGAAGTTGGTTGTGGTTGTCGGGCAACATCTAATTCTGCTGGTCTTAGGTAGGGTTCTGAAGACTGATGTTTGCTTGGTCCATTAGTCCACTGGACTGATTGTTTTTCTGTGTCTTCAATTTTCTACCCTTTTCTTTCTTCTGGACAGGAAGCGACCACAAGTTGCATTTTAGAAGACCTCCCTCAAGTTTTTAAGACTCCAGTTGCTAGTCACCAAAGTAAGACGTAGAACAATATCTTTGTGGACTGTTATGCCAACTGACCTTGGTGTTCCCCAAGACCATGGTCCTGAACTCCCAGGCCCAAGGTCTCATTCCCTGAAGGTGTTTGGTTATGCATAAGATGTTTTCATAAGTTTGCTCCCTGGATGTTCCACCACATTCATGGATATAAATAAATACCCGTATACAAATATCCGGTCAAACCTATGCATATATATTTGGGGGGTACTCCTATTCTCCCTCCCATACCCAGTATCTGCTTGTAGATCACTGTTAGTGCAGGATTATGTATAGAACAGTATTTACCTGTTTCCTTTAACTCTTGCACTCCTCCTTGTATCTTCCCCAGCCTCCACAGTTTTTTTGCCAACCTTACATTTATGGTATAGTGCCTTCCCCATCACCCAAGTTAGCACATGTCTGCCCTCTAGAAGAGCCTTGGTGTGATGCTGTAAGGTAAGCACAAGTTCTGCAGTTCAAACCCACCAGCCACTCTTGGAAACTGTCCTAGGCTGGTTTCTCTAGAAAAGCAAAACCTGTGAAACATACTCATATCTACACAGAGAGAGAAGTTTGTTATTAAGGAAATAGCTTACAATTACAGAGTCCTAGGATCCCAGTGGAAGAGAGAGAGGGCTTTTCTTCTGTGTCAATTATATTAGGAGCAGGCCACACCCCCCAAGGAAACATTCCTTCATTGATTGGCTGCTCATAGCCATTCATCATGGAGTTAACTATGCCTGTTTTAGGTTTCATCACCATGGGAATAAGCCAATGGTAACTGCTAAACCTTGAGAATTCTTGCCTAATGAAATTGACAAAGCACACTACTACAGAAACCCAACACGGGGTAGCTATGAGTCAGAACAGACTGGAAGTCACACCATACAACCACTCTCTAGCCAGTGAATTTGGCCCCCTTCCCCTCCCACTCCTGGTAACCACCAGAGAATATTTCTTTTAGTGTAAGAAAACCTTTCCTTGACATT